AAAAAAAAAAAAAAAAAAAGAACATATAAGAGACTTATATTAACAATTAACAGGGTACTGTTACCCAAGGAGACAGTGTCTGTGAAAGAAGTGGGAACTCCTGAAAGCATAATTTGAAAAAAAAAAAAGAAACCTAATTATTTTATAGTATTTAGGTTAGACACAGAGACTGTACTCTTTGAGTATTTGACTTTTTTCCCCAAACCAGGTAGACATCTTTAGGTAAAGGACAAAATTGAAGACATTTAAATTGAGATTTTCTAAGTCTGACATAGTTTAACTTTTACCCAAATTATTGTAGTTGTTAAAGAAAGTCTGCGTGAGACAATGGTTTACAATTGATTATATAGGCAATATAATTACTATTAAGTCCCAGGCTTTTGCACTTTTGATCTTTATTATTGTCAACAGTGAATGAAAAGCTCTCCAGTAATTCTTCCTGTAGTTAGAGGTACTAAGATTAGGAAATTTTGACTATTCAAATGCCTACAAGGATTATTCTTGTTTTGTGACCATTGCTTGCAACCAGACACTGTAGATCCTTGAGGAAATGTGCCAAGTAAAGTGGAGTTTTGGTTGTTTTTGATTGATTGATTGGTTTTGCTGGTACTAGGATTTGAACTCATTGCCTCATACTTGCTCAGTTGGCACTCTAGAACTACAGTCATTCCAGTATTTTGCTAATGATTTTAGAGTCTCATAGACTCCTTTCTCCAGGCTAGTTTTGAGACACAATCCTCTGGACCTACCCTTCAGTAACTAGGATTACAGGTGTGAGCCACATGTACCTACCTCCATGTAAGTATTTGTATTGCTTACTAATGTAGAAATATTGCTCTTTGAGAAAGTGGTATCATTTTGGGACAAAAACAAATAATTATTTTGGCAATAATTATGATTATTACTTTTTTCAGTACTCAGAAAAGCATATCTATTTCCATTCTGAAAAACACATTTCTTGTAACTTTAGATATGATATTTTATTCAGCAAATTGATTCACTTTTCAGTTATATTCACCTGGGCATTATTGCATCAAGAGGTAATGGACAAGCTGGTCCTTTTCTTTAATCAATATACTATTGATTTTAATTGTTCTCCTGCCAGAGAATTTCAGTTTATTACAAACCAATGCAAAGAGGATGGCAGGAAGCAGAGCTAATGTTTATTGAGGTCCTGGAGTGAGTGGAAAGCCTGCCAAGCCCTATGCCCTGGCGCTCACAGCGACAGTTCAGAAGAGGAATAATCATGAAGCAGTTCTCAATCTGCCTGCACATAAGGATTCCCTGGGGAAATTTGCTTTTGAAGCACTGAAATCTAAACCTCATACCAGCTTATTTACACTTAATTGGCATGACTGGACATACATATTTTTTAAAGCTCTAGAGATGAGAGAAATATACAGCTAGAATTAAGAATCGTTGATTCTGGGCACTGATCAAAAACCAAGATCTAGTGTTTTTTGAACTTGCACATGGAAATCTCCTGGAGCTGTAGGAGAATAGCCAGCATCAATTCAGTAAGCATGGTCTGATGTAAGGTGCACCGGATCACCATAGATGACCTGAGTTTGTCCCCATCAGGTATGCATGAGCAGATTTCTCTTTTCCTTCCCAGCCCTGTTTCTTTCTAACTTTCTTGGATGTTGTTTTGGTCTTCCTATGTCAAATTCTCCTTTCTAGTAAAAGCAGGGTTATAAACTGCTTGCCAGTTTACAGAATGAAATTCACAATGACAACCACAGCCACAAGGAAACTACCTACAGTCTTTTTTAGTCCACCTGTCAGGCCAGTGCTCAGCAGCTAGCTCTGCGCTCCGTGGTGCTTTCATGAGCACACGGGATGAAATTAAACATTCACTTAAAAAAAATAGTTCTCCTGTTAAACATCTCTACTTCCTCTTAAGGAGAGTGTGTGTCAGCTTGTAGGAGGTCAAGTTTTCCAGGCTGATAACAGGGAACCATAAGGCAGAAATCCATCTCCGTTTGGTGTCCCAAGGTGAGATCTGCTGGTTGGTTTGTTCTCGTGTTTGCCTTCCAAGCCTGTGCTTGAAAATCAACACTGGCCCCCTCAGCTGCCAGGCGTGGCTCCCAGCCGCTGTCCCCCGAGCCCTGTGCAACCTTTCTCAGTCTCTATCTTTCCTCTTGCTGGCAGGTAAGAAAAACTCCATCCTTCTGCAAAAGTTCCAGAAGGATCTGAACACTGGTGTTTTTAACAATCAGGAGAACGAGATCCTGAAGCAGATCGTGAAGCATGACAGGGAGATGGTGCAAGCCATCGCTCCTCTCAACTATCCCCAAATGACCGGCCTGAATTCCACATCCACGAGCACGACCCCGACCTCTCGCCTACGGACACAATCTCCACCCGTCTACACCGCCACCAGCCTGCCTCACAGCAACCTGCACTCCCCGAACCCCAGCACACAGACCCCCCAACCTTCGGCCATCCTCTCGCCCTGCTCCTACACCACTGCCGTGTGCAGCCCTCCAGTACAGAGCCCGCTGGCCACGCGAACTTTCCACTACGCCTCTCCCACCGCTTCCCAGCTGTCGCTCATGCAGCAACCGCAGCTCCAGCAGCCCCAAGCCCCGCAAACTCAGCCTCAGCAGCCACCCCAACAGCCACAGACGCCCAGCAGCTCCACGCCGAAAAACGAAGTGCACAAGAGTACGCAGGCGCTTCATAACGCCACCCTGACGCGGGAGGTCAGGCCGCTCTCGGCCTCGCAGCCCTCGCTGCCCCACGAGGTGTCCACTCTCATCTCCAGACCTCATCCTACCGTGGGCGAGTCCCTGGCCTCCATCCCTCAGCCCGTGACGGCCGTCCACAGCGCCGGCCTTCCCGCCGCAGGCAGGAGCACTGTCCCGCAGAGGGTCACCCTCTTCCGACAGATGTCATCCGGAGCCATCCCCCCCAACCGAGGAGTCCCACCCGCGCCCCCTCCACCAGCTGCACTCCAGAGAGAGCCTTCCTCCGTCCTCAGCACAGACCCAGACGCAGAAAAGCCACGGTTCGCTTCCAATTTATGATCCCTGCTGATTATCGAAGCAGAGGGAAAAACACTCTAATAATTAAACTGAGAATCTTCTCAGATCTCCTTTTACTCTATCTCCTGATAGATCATATAGCCTATCACGAAGAGATATTTTAGACAGCTCTGGCCTTCATGTAAAATGTAAAAAACAAAAAACAAAACATATATATATATATACACACACACATACACTATTAAATATATATATATATATATATATATATATCGAAATTCCCAAAAAAGAAGTTCAAGAGGACTGTTTAGCATTCAGTGTTATGTGTCTTCCTTTCTTCAAAAATCATTAAAGGATTTAAAATGTTGTTGTAAGATTATTTATTTCGAATCTATTTTTACTTGATTCCTTTGATACATGTATTTCTCTATCTTATGAAGAGTTCTTGGATACAATGGGAACAAAACTCTGATTTGGGGGCAAATCAACTGAGCTTGGGAATAGCACCAGTCAATTATTTCTTTCATTAGAGGTATCTAGGAATCTAAATTGTTACTCCTTCATTAAGGGGGATTAAATAGCAAATCCCATTTTGTAGATCTAATTTATATCTTGGTGCTTTCAAATCTGAAGTAGGAGAAAAAAAGTATGCACTGCAGGCTTGGGCACCATAAGAAACTAGCATTTATTTCCATAGTTAAGGCTATATCTCTCTAACTGCGAACATGTTCACTGATCTCTTGGAAACCTTGAGGGCATGGGTATTTGTCTTCATGTGTTATGGGACTTTTACCAAGACTCAATGTTAGTTGTAAATAACTTTTTCAATCCAAATAAAAATAGCTCTTCTGTGTTGTATGAGGGTAAAAGTCATTGTTGAATAATTTAGTTTTATTGCTTCACTTCAAAACTTAGAGTTTTAAATTTTACCAAAAAAAATCTGTGACAATTATTCAATTGTAATGCAATGGCTTGAAACCTATACTATTATTTTAACCTGCAATGTTTTATGCAAAATTTGTATGCTTGAATCTACAAATTGCTTGTCTCACCCCAAAAATAATTACTTTTCTTCCTTCTTGCCATAATCAAGCATCTCAAAATAGTTCCTGCATGCTTTTGTGGGGGGGAGGGCAAGTAGGTTCAAATCAGTCATTGTAAGGAAAGGCTTACCGTGTTTCTCATTTCTAGAAAAGTATAACAATTCATTAATTGCCTATCTTAAAATTCTTATAAGGCTGACTTGGATCTCTGACTTAAGTCTAGAAGTGAGGTTTTACACTTTCATTTCATATTATTGCAGTGATTATTATTTTATTAATTATTTGTAAACAACAAGTTGATTTGGGGTTGCAATCATAGTGTGTTCTGTGTCTTCACTGTAGTTGTGGTTTAATGTGGTGTTAATTTAAATAAATACAATATATCATCATGTCTGTTTGAGAACACACATTTTTTACTCTATGTATCTTGTAAGTGGTTGATAAATCTTAAGGCATGTAGTGACTAACATCGGCCTTAGATAAGGGGCTTGATTTTTTACTGTGGACCGAAAGCAGGGATCATGTTGAATGTTGAATGTCTATGAGTACTGTTTGCTTGTTTGTTTGTTACCTCAATTGTTTTTAAGGTCTGTGAGCATCAGCTTCTTCTCAAAGAAGTCTTTTAGTAATCATTTGTGCCTAATGCATCCCACAAATGTGGTGGATGGCTGGAACACATTGGGAAGATTCCTGATACCCAACTTCTGCAAATAATTCAAGTTGAGAATATGAGCTAAAGTGGAGGTCTTCGACATCTCTGGCACTGATGATACATTTAAGAAGAACTTAACGAAGTTGATATTCTACAGGGGGCAGGGCCTCCAGACAGATTTGAAGACAGAAAACAGAACAAAAGCAAAAACTCTAAAGTGGATCCATACTGCCTGTTATGCCTTTTAAGGATACCTATAATACCAAAATAAGATGTCACATTTACTTTCCAACAGATCCCAACTTGTGTGGAAGTAATCAACAATACTAGTTAACACAATGTTCTCATTGCTATGTTGGTGACAAATGGTAGCATGTCAGGAATTATGTGAGATTGTCTGGTCTACCTAGAATCTATGGGAGAGCTGCAAGACCATTTACATATCAGTACAAAACTTTATTTTATTAAAATGTGAGAATTAACACCAATTTATTAAGATCATGCATTGGTCCTTTAAATTATTAAAGGTTTACATTTGATAGGATTAATGGGTTTGGTAGTAAAATATTTTTATATATATATGAATTTTTGGGTTTTTATTTTAAGCACTATTGGGACACATAAGCATAATTGAATTGCATGGTCTTTCAGAGCAACCATACAATTTTTATTCACTTTGTAATAGAATGGAAAAAACCCCTAAGGTTTATATGTTTAACTAATGAAAAGGTACAGGGTAAATTATATGCACCTAAATGTATGAATGTATATATGTTTAATTTAAGATAAAAAGACTCACATTCCTGTATTATAAAGGTTTGTTGATAGTCAGAAGTGACCTCTTTTTTCTGTACATAGCTAAGCCCATAAATATGGAGTTTTAATCTGTACAGAAAGAAATGTATTATTGAAAAGACTGGTCTTTTGCTGCTGGAAAGTTAGCTGATAAATAGCTAATTCTTACAACTGTATGATCAGGGATGAAGTAGAGTATTTCTTTTGTCTTTGCTCAAAGCCATACACATATAAATATATATATATATATAAGATTATTAATAAATTCAACAAAATAAACTACAATCATGAATACCTTATTTATCAATATGCTCTAATCTAATACTTTGCTCCATTAATGAGTGCAGATTTGCCTCTGTATTTCTTTTTATCAAGGGACATCCAAGCAAGCTTGAATTTGAAAATCATCATAAAAACTAATTATAAATGTGGTAGAATTGTAAAATGGGAATCCTTTAGTTAGAACCTTTGCTTCCCAACCATTCCTTTGATTTTCCTCTCATATTAAATTTGAGTTTATTCTCTGCTCTTTGCCTTCTTAGAGTGTGATTGGTTCTGAATTTCCAAACAGCCTTTCTTGTTGGATATGAGAATAAGAAATTACTGACCTGTAGGCCTATTTTGTTACAGCTTTTGAACTTGCAAAGGCTTTTCAGTAGTAGTGTTACCTTCCCATACAAGTTAATGTTGAATCAGACTTGAAAGCCTGAGCTGGAGTTGATGAGAATGATGATAAATAGTGAGGTGCATCTAAAACTAAGGATAAATGGCAGGCTTGGAAACGGACTCTCTTCATCAAGTACATAGCCTATCTCCAACTACCTCTCTGTGACCTCTCCATTAGTGAAAAAATCCCAGATGAAAGCCTGTCTAGTTATAAAAGGTGGCTATTTTGAAATTTACATGCTTAAATGGGTGTCGTATTTTTAACATATCACAAAGTCCATGTTATTCAAATGATTCCTACAAGGTTTAAGCAATTCCACAAAATAATTAAATCAGCCCTTTTATATTTTGTTAATTTTATTTTGTTTCATTTCATTTTATGTTGGTAGTACCAGACTTTGAACTCAGGACCTTGTGCTTTTGAGGCCAAGTGCTCTACTATTGGAATACAGATATCCTCCCTGCCAACCACTTTCATTTTCAGTTATTGAGGTAATGGACTATTCTCAGAGAACCTATCTATGCCATCTGGGTAGCTGGAATTATGGGTATGTATCACTTCACTTGTTTATCAAAATGAAGGTGTCAGCAACCTTTTGCCTGGGTTGGTCTTGAACTGTGTGCAGTCCTCTCTACTGCCTGCCTGCATAACTGGGATTATAAATTTATGGTACCACCCTTGGCCACTAAATGTAAAAATTTGAAAATCGGATGATTTATACTTTAAATGTGATCTCTACTATCTCTCAGTATTATTTTGAAATATCTATACATTCTTTTTTTTCAGATTTAAGTTCTTAAATTTGTTAATATTACTGTTTCCTCTTAAGGAATTCATTTTCATTAGTGTGTGTGTGTGTGTGTGTGTGTGTGTGTGTGTGTGTGGTGTGTGTGTGTGTGTGTGTGTGTGTGTGTGTGTGTGTGTGTATGCTGGTCCTGGGGCTTGAACTATTTGTTCAAAGCTAGAATTCTGTCAGTTAAACCACAGCTCCATTTCCATCATTTTTTCTACCATGATTAAATGGTGATACGCATCACACGGACTTTCCTGTTTGGGCAGTCTTTAGCTTCCTGAGTACCTAGGTTTGCAGGTGTGAGCCACTAGTGCTTTGCTCTATGAAATCTTGTGGGAACAAGATTTTCTCTCTTTATCTCTATCATTTGATAATATGTGCTATAAAATATAAGTATAGTCAGTTTATTCATATGCACTGTACCTAACAAAGTTTTATTACACTTTAGGACAATGTGAACTTTCTTATGCTATTCCATGAGAAAGAAGTATGGACATGTAGAACTGAATTCTGAGATATTGTGAGTTCTGAAAAGAATGGGCAAACATTTAAGGAGGTATGAGTAGTTGCCTGGTATGGGCTGCACCTTAATCCAATAACAGAATTCAAGAACTTTTTCCAAAATCAAACTGGAGATTTTCTTTAAAAGGTCTGTCATTGTGTTTACTTACACATACAGCTGTCCAACAGTGACCCTCTTAAGCAATTTTAATTCTTTCTTTTTTTTACAAATGGCATCATAAAAAGCAGGCAAATTATTTAGTTGATCACAAAAAGAACTCCTACTTTTAATGGGAATTTTTAAAAAGTATAAATGATCTTGTCCAAGTCCATCAGGGATTTAGTAGAAAATTATTCCATAGTACACATATGCATCCTGCTCCGACACTGGATATTTAACCAAAGGCCATTTCTTTTTTTTTCATTCCCAAGAGAGTAATTATTATTTTCATTAATATATATCATTGTTCTAACTCATATTCTCAGCTTTAAGTTATGAATGATACAAGGTTCTCTGTAAAGGAACAACATCTTTACACATCTGTCACCACAAAGGACATAGGGACTTAAAATCTCCATCTAATAAAAGGTTTTGTCATCAGGCCAAAGGTTCTATAACTTATCAAAATGTTGTGTAACAATGA